TGGGCTGCAGAGCTCTGCAGCCTGAGAGCCTATGTGACTGTAACTGTTCCATGCAGGTTTGGGGGTGGGTGGGAGGGCTTCTGAGGATGCTCCCTGCTACTCTGCCTCCCCAGCTGCCCTGGAACCTGCCTGAACCATACTAACAACAGTCCACAGCTACCCCACATGCAAGTTGGAGGCGGGGAGGGGAGAGGCAGCGTGGGATAGGCAGAGCCTCCCTTTACAAACCAGATGTCCATGGGCGCTCGCACCAGTAGCTGAGGTCAGGGTGTATGCACTGGGTTGGGCCCACTTGCTTTGAGGAGCAGGCTTTCAGGTGCCTGGCCTGGAGCTGCAGTACATTATGCCTCGGGCATGTTTATGGCAAATATGTAGGTGCTCAGAAAAATTAGGTGACTCAGCAGCAGCTGGGCAAGGAGGTTGTGAACCCTAACGGGGTCTGATTTTAGGTGTGTAAATTCTTTTGTGCATGTAGCCCTCAGATGCTACAGTTTGTGCACATGGCTGGGTAAGAAACACTATAAAACAGAGTGGTACTAGGAATGTTATTTGGAACCCATATGTTCAGTGAGGTGTTTGGATTCTCAGCTCTGTTGGTCTTCTGTACTTCTAAAGGGGAATAGATTAAGTGTAAATCTGGCTATGTGGTTGGTGGCTGTTGCTAGCATGGGAAAGATTGAGAAAACTGCGAATCTAGGTGCTTCCGATTACGCCCTATTCCGTCTTCTCTCACATTGGTATCTCACCGTCAATTACCTCTAGCTGCTACTGAGGCTAACAGTTGTTCCAGAAACCTTCTGACTTGGTGATTTCATATGGAGAATGTGAATTTATGTGGAGGTTGTATTTAAACTGATGAGTGGAGTCAAGATTATGTCCAACTTTGCCACTGCAGATTTAAGATCTACTTGCTGTAGTTTATCCATCTGTATGATGACATCCTGGCTTGAAGCACTCTTGTGAAATGTAAACTGTCATTGAATGAAGTGTGCTATCGTAATTCCCATTTCAAATGATTTGACAAACTGTTTACTCTGACTGCATCTTATTTCAAAAGCACACATTTGACCATTCCTGGACATGGGAGCTGTGGGAAGCAGCATGGGCTGGGCCACTGCATCCCACAGCTCCCATTGGTGAGGAATGGTGAACTGTGGACACTGGGAGCTGTGCCTGTGGACACTCAGGCCATGGCTATACTTATCCATGGATTGACACTCCAGGGGGTCAATCTTTGGGCATTCAACTTAGCAGGTCTAATAAGAACCCGCTAAATCGAATGCTGAGGGCACCGGTCCTACTTTTTGCGAGGAGAAAGGGCAGATGATGAAAGCATTTTTTTTCCATTGACCTCCCACCATGGAGATGGCTCCAAAGTTCAAATCAAGGTATGTCGACTCCAGCTACACAATGGCTGTGTCTAGACCGGCAAGTTTTTCCGCAAAAGCAACTGCTTTTGCAGAATAACTTGCTAGCTGTCTACACTGGCCGCTTGAATTTCCACAAGAACACTGACGCTCTCATGTAAGAAATCAGTGCTTCTTGCAGAAATGCTATGCTGCTCCCGTTCGGGCAAAAGTCCTTTTGCGTAAAAGCTTTTGCGCAAAAGGGCCAGTGTAGACAGCTCAGATTTGTTTTGCGCAAAAAAGCCCCGATCACAAAAATGGCGATCAGGGCTTTTTGCGGAAAAGCGTGTCTAGATTGGCACGGATGCTTTTCCGCAAAAAGTGCTTTTGCGGAAAAGCATCCGTGCCAATCTAGATGCTCTTTTCCGCAAATGCTTTTAACGGAAAACTTCTCCATTAAAAGCATATGAGGAAAATCATGCCAGTCTAGACGTAGCCAATTAATATAGATGGAGTTGTGTATCTTAATTCAAACTTAGCCACTCAAAGGCCACAAGATGCTTTGTTTACCTTAGGCCTGGTCTACACTAGGGGATAACAAACCATATGGTTCTCCACTCCTGCTTTACAAGCCTTTAATTAACTGGAGCACTGGTAACAGAATATGATTTGGATGTAGTAGGGTTGCACAGATGATACTGAAGACATAATTTGGCCTTCAGGACCTTTATTACCAGGAATAATGAGAGAGACGGGAACAACCCTAGCTGACCATGAGCATTGGTAAGCAGGGAAAAAGTGTCATTTTAATTGAAAACAGAGGAAATTTTGATAGGTGTGAATTATGGGACATTCTAGGGTTATTTGCCTCACTAATTGGCCTAACAAACCTCCAGCTTGACTGCCAGGATCATTCCCAGCAATTACCTCCCTGTCCTTCCTTTATCATTTCTGACTCCCCCAAACCTTTGCACTGATTCTGAGGGGGTGGGAGAAATTCATGTAAACTACAGTACAGAAATGTACTAGTTACTCAAAGTTCCGTATTAATGTGCCCAGTAAGGAATCTGTTAAAAAAACATTTTCTGAATGTTTTGTCATTTATATTGTTACAGAAATACTTGTTGGCAGCTATTTTGGAATCATTTATCAAAATATTAGAAACTGGCATGATTATATTGTATTATTTTGTCAAATAATGTATGCAGAATTTTAAAATGCACTCTGAATTTTTTGGCACAGGTGTTCTGAAGTGCATCATAGGTATTCACTTGTTATCCGCTAATGAAGCCAAGAGGAGGGACTTAACCCTAACCCCCCCCTGCTTTGCATCTCCTGCCCTTTGCCTTGGAGCTTTCTCCTTCTCCCTCCCGGGAGCCTCCTGCTTGCTTTGCAGAACAGGGAAGGGAGAAGAGGGGGCACAGGCTTTGGGATGGAGAGAATTTCTTGGCTGCTTTTGAGAGTGGTGCAGGGCTAGGGCAAGGGTGAGCCTGCCTTAGCCTCACTGCACCACCACCAAGGAGCCACCTGAGGTAAGCAGTATCTAGCTGGAGCCAGAATCCCAAACCCCTGCCCCAGTCATGAGCCCCTCCTGCACCTCAAGCCCCTGTCCTAGTCTTGAGCCCCTTAAGCTCAAACATACTCATAGAGCCTGTTCCCTGAATCCCCTCCTACCCCAACTTACTGCCCCAGGCTCAACTCAGAACCTCTCACAGTCCAAATCCCTTAGCCCAAGACCAGAGCCTGTGCCCCAACCCCTCTGCTCCTGTCTGTAGGGTTACCAGCTGGTTTAAAAAAAATACTGGACACACTTAATCTCAGATCAGGGCAGGGCTGGCCAGAGGAGATTGGAGGGGAAGGAACTGGCTGGCGGGAAGCAGAGCTAGCCTTGATAAGGGTTGGGGGGAGTGGGGCTGGCTGGGAGGGTGGAATGGGGGGGGGGAACCGGCTGGTGGGGAGCGGGCTGGCCTGGGTGCACACAGATCCTGGCGTGCTGCCTGTCCCACACATGCTCCTGGCAGGGCACATGAGCGAGTCTGGCCTGGGGATTCCATTCTGCTCTGCTCCCGCCCCCCTCCTCTCTGCTGCGTAGTTGCATACTTCCTGGCTGGTAGACACGCTCACGCAGTAGAAGAGAAGAAGCGAGCCTGTCTTCTCAGAGTTTGATGTCAAATCATTCTGCCTTGTCAGAACCTTCCTGCAATAGTGAAAGGGTAGATGGCTAAAGAACTGTGGGTAGGAATGTCTGTGCTCCAAGAACAGATAAATGGTATTTAAGAAACTGAAGAGGGGTGGTAAAACCAAGGTATACCATGGATACATCACGCACAGGCCTTAATTTCTGCATTTCCTTATAGTTATTAGACATGGGGTCATATTGCTGTTGGGATCAAACGTGCTAAGAGCTGAAAGGTGACAGTGTACATTGTGAGCTGTAGTCAGTAAGAAGGTTCATGGCTGGCTGAAAAAGACATTGCCTTGGACAGCTGTCAAGGAAAACAGAACCACATCTTGTCAAGGGAAGAAAGCAAATTAGGTGTGCTTTAGAAAAGGGAGGGTGTAATGTAATGTTTCTGTGCTGACTGGTGATTGGGAGGGTTATGCCTTAGTTTGAATTGGGAGGTACACAATCACATGCACTTCACAGAGGATGTGTGTTCCAAGGATTAACTTAACAGGTAAAATTTAAAAGCTGCTTCAGTCTCACTGGCCATCAGAGATAAAAAGAAGAAAAAAATCAGTGCACCATTGAGCATGGTGCTAGTTTGGGTCTCTTACAGTCAGAAAACGCTAGAATGTAAATGGAAGAGTCAAGAGTCATAAAGCCCTCTGGCTGCTCTAAAAAAGGTATTTGCCAGAGTCATTCATGATCTTATGCACATGCTGAACACTTTACAATCACTTCTTGTGGGTGAGTGACAGACTGAAAAGAGCATGATTTGTGCAAGCACCACTGATCACCTCGCTGGATGAGAAATCTGGAAAATTTCCCAGCTTCAACATCTGCCCCATATTAGGATGAAGAGTTAAATTAATTTGTTAGGACTGGCTCTTTTCTGTGCAGTCACGGTAGAGGATTCTTAATCACTTACCCCCCTCAAAAGTTTTGGCAAATAAATATATCTACTAACAATCTGGTACAACTGCTGCCACTGACATGCTTGTGAAATGCCACAAGACAACCGGTGAGTGTGAGATCTTTGTTTTTCCACATACTGCAAGGGACTAGGTAAAGGAAACTTCAGAATAGGCCTGGGAATTCACTGTGTGAATCTATGGAAGTGTTATGGTCTAAGATTCTCCGGAGAGACACAAGATAGAAAATCTGAGGACTGATGGCAGATATCAATTTATATACCTTTCTAGCATGACAGCCAATGTAGCAAAGTATCATGTAATGAATATTCTGTTAAGGCAAGAAAACAGTGAGATGTGATATGGCAGCCAAATGAGCTCTCAGATTTCTAACATTTTGTTTTCAAAAAAGGTCTTGTATAACTGGATTACTTTTCAAATTTTTATATGGTCCAAATTAACTCCATGTGTATATTTACTATGGGTTGGAGCAGATATTTTTCTATCTTCGGGGGAGGGGAAAAGTAGGGGAAAGATTTTACAAAACAAGAAATCTAAGCAAAGATATCGAATGTGCTCCTTTTCCCCTTGACCTCACTGCACGTATGCAGAGCTAAAGATGATCTCAAAGTCAAATGGCTTTCCACAAGCCAAACGAGCTGCTTAACAGTTCACTTCCTTTCATTGCTCTTTCAAACAGAACAGTCATTGGGGGGGAGGGAAGCATTTAAAAATCTTTTTATTATTAACATAATCTTCCAAGTGTGGGTAATATGCATAAGGAATGTCAGTAAATATTCCATTTGAAGCTTCTTTTTACATATTTCCATCGATAAATAAACTCTGAATTCACATAAAAAAGTTACACTTAAATAACGAATATTTTCTTTGTTTGTAACAGGCATACATTGGTAAAATATAAATATTCTTGTACTCAGCCTTTGTTCTAAGTAAAGATAACAATTAGCCACACATCACAGTTATTAACAACCAAAACCAAGAACTCTTCAACTGATTTTCTGGCCTGGACTAGTATAGAGATGGAAAACAGAAAATTCACAGTTTGACTTTAGGCCAAGAGGGGTTGAGATGGAGGAGGTGACAGAACAGTTTTCATGACAGTCTTGTTAAAAATAGGCTGCTCTGCCACTGAATTTTAATTCAAATATATTACTCTACATCTGATGGTAGGTTCCATTATAATTTTTACATAACACTAAGATGTTACCTAATGAAATATGGCACATTATTCATTAGAACAATATAATCAGGTTTCATAACTACCATTGGAAAAAAAATGTAGGTGATGTATGAGTGGTGATTTGTTTTTGGCTAGTCATGTTTTCTTTACTAACCATTAAAATATTGTATCACTTCATTTCTTTGTCAGGCTCCTCTGATAATAAATTTTGTGGTACTTTCTGTCACTTTTGAAAACAAGCTGCATTGTCAGAGATACCTGGGTGTTGTTTCCTCACCCTCAAATCCAAAACCTGAAACATGATGAGCTCTGTGATCAAGGCATCATCTCAGAGAATTCGTGGAATGATAGTAAAAGGGACAATTGGGCTGCTGGCTTCAAGCTCTAATGCTGTCAGGAAGCACTCTGTTGCTGCATCATCATTGCCTTGAGCTTGCAGAACCTCCCCAAGACCATTCCAAACCTCATGAGCTGTAGAGTTCACTTGGACAGCATCTCTGAGAATCTTCTCAGCCAAACTATAGCGCCCTAATTGGTGAAGTATTAGAGCCTGCAATGAAATAAAGAAAATGCAGAAGTAGTTGAGAACAACACATTATACACTGAACACTAGCAATAGTAACGTGAACAAAACTCTGTTGATAGGATTTTTACCAGATCCAAGCTATCTCTAATAGCACTGAAAAATTGAAAATGGATAGATGATTCAAGTGGATTAATGCATTTCACTGTCTCTACTTCACAAACTTGGGTTTAAATTCTGTTTTTGGTTGTGAATGAAAATGAGTGCAGTGGAATGATCTGAATTAGGGATATAAAATGCCATTTAAAATGTTAACAAATTGAACAATGTTTAATTGGTTAAAACTGGCTGGGTGTGAGGCTGCTCCAGCCGGCCAGGCACCGGTTAACCAGTTACCTTAGCAAACATGAGGCAAAGCTTACTGGGTAATCAATTAACTGGTTATCCCTTTACATCCCTAATCTTGCATATCAGTCTATTTTATAAAACTTTTAAGTAACATGGTGAAGAATTATTGCTGAGTGGGCTGTTCTTAAATTCCTACAGAAAAGAACTGGCAGAGCTGCATAAGCAGGCTCTAAACAATTAGTCCTCACACCTTCATGAGCACCAAGTGGGTATAAAAGTAACTGAAGAGTGCAGAGATTCTGTGCAATTGTTTAACCATCCATTGTAAATTCCTGTAGTCTCAATTACTCACTCTCTCCCCTGCCAACGACATTACTTTCTATTGTAAGCAGACTATTAACTGAACTATATAATACAACTTATGAATGCTTGACTGTTGAGAACAAATTCATGAAGAAAGCAAATACAATAGTGGTTGCAATGGATTTAATGCAGAAATGCAGTGAGGGCTAATTTCTAACTGTCTAATGGGTCTGCTGGCAGAGAGGTATTGCAGTTTAATTTTTTTGGAGGTTTTAGTGAGAAAGCACTGCAGCGGGTGGTGATCTGTACTTTAACTTACCACAAACAAGGCAATTGTTCTTGGGATGGTTTTCCTCCTCCAAGAAAGAGATTTGAAAATTAGACTATCAAAGTATTTCAGAAAAAATGAGGCAGGAAGAAATCTATGGATATTCTCTGCACTAAGATGGTTTAGTGTAACATTCTCAAGTTATAATTTACTGTCACCAAAGTGAATGAATAAAAGGTATTGATTTGCAGATACAAGTTGAGACGCTATAATCCGGCGTTTCCCAGTCCGGCTAGACCTCAGGTTCAGCAATGTCAGGGTGACCTGGAGGGCTGGAGCCAGGAGTGTGTTGAGACTAGATGGCCAAGTGAGCGCAGCCCCAGGTGGGAGCAGAGCTGCCAGAAATAGCACGGAGCCCCTGGTCAACAGGGGTAGGTCAGCAGTCAGAGCATCTGGGCAGAGCATTGAGACCCAGGTGGCAGCAGGGCACCCCTGGCAGCAGCAGAGCTGGCGGGGAGAGCCCCAAGTTCCAGATGGCACTGCAGAAGCTGCCAGGGAGAACCTTGAGCTCCAGGCAGCAGCACAGGGCCCCCCCAGCAGAGAAATGCTGGGGGGGGGGGAGGGGAAGAGAAGAGAAGAGTTCCCTGACTGTGGGGAGAGCGCAGAGCCCCAGGTGGCAGCAGAGGCCCCCTTGCTGTGGGGAGAACACAGCCCATGGCAGCAGTGGGGCAGCGAGGAGGAAAAGCGAAGCCTCCAGTGCACTGACCTCCCATGGGTGCTGGACGAGGGAAGTTCAACCTGAATATGCTTTTCTTTACAATTTATTTACAAAAATCCTTCTGGAAGCTTGCCTATCCTATCCAAGTTACAGACGCTAGTACTTTGTATATGAAAAATTCTATATATCTCAATATTCCAGATTCCTTTTGCACTGCAGCGGGTGGTGATCTGTACTTTAACTTACCACAAACAAGGCAATTGTTCTTGGGATGGTTTTCCTCCTCCAAGAAAGAGATTTGAAAATTAGACTATCAAAGTATTTCAGAAAAAATGAGGCAGAAAAAATGAGGCTCTTGAAAAACTGTGTTTTTCAAGAGCCAAGGAAGCATCATGGTCTTGCAGACGTATTAGCTTGATTGATAGGAGTACAGAGTGCATCAAATCTGCATTAACTTTCTGTGGAAATAGTACATTATTTTTTTTCTGATGATCTACTAAGGCAACAAACTACTGACAGCAATTGCTTTGTAACCATGTTTTACTTCAGATGTTAGGGTATTTGATGCTAGTGAAGCATTGGAGACAGAAGTGAATTGTTTATCCACAGAACAGCGATTACATGGGCAGTAACAAGGGTAAGTCTTCTCACCACGCACACCAAGGCATGCTAGTCCTGGAGGGCACCACTTTACAGAGACTGAAAGAATAGTTCAGTCTCTAGGCCCAGTCACACTCAGGCCCCGCTGCTGTGACTGCCAACAAAGGTTTTGGTGGTTGTTTTAGTGATGAAGAATCCTGTTCACTGGGACCAAGAAGACTAAGATCACAGAGTCATTTCATACTGGGCATCAGAAAAAATTGTTATACATTTGACTGCAATAGATATAGGCTGAACTGAATCCTATCGTCTACAGATAAAAAGCTTCATATCTCTTTGCCAGTCTTCTGATGCATCAAAACCCATCTAAAAGGGAGACCAGATGCCAGAGTTTAATAAAAATATCCAGTTTTGGCAGGGGAACACTCAAGTGATATTGCACTTGTTTTTTTATCAGTATAATAAAAATTGTCTGATCAACCAATTTCCACTATTACAGGATTTCCTCAGAAGTTCCTGGGACCCAGCAGTCTACATGCTGGAGTCCTCTGCTTTTGCCACCTGCCTACTGGTCTCTTAATTTAGTTATGTGCAAATTACAGCACAACAGGGTCTGGGGACTTTACAATATCCAGATTTTGCTAGTTTAGGTTTTGGAATATTTTAACCATACTCAGTGGTAATTGTATTCAGTTCTTTTAAAGCACTGAATTGATATGAAAGAGGGAGGAGTAGGCACCCCTCTCTGGCAATTGTATTCATGTCCAAATATAGTGTTTCAGAGCTCCAAAATTTTATCACACTCTATAGCACATCCACCCCAAACCGACCATCCTGTTTCCAGATATTAAACACTGTCACCAAAAGGCAGGTTTTGGTTACAAAACATGCCAGTGTATAGAGAGATCCTAGTGGCAAAGATCATATCTTCTCTTTATTTTGGAAGGTGTTTAGCATGCCTATTAATATCTTCCAGTGATAGTTTTGTTCTTTCCAGATCTACAGATAAAGAACTGGATTCTAAGATTTGCACTGTGTTTGCTTCCATGGAGGCCACTTTCTTGGACTTAGAAGGGGGAAATATATCGGTCTTCTCCCTTACTATAGCCCTGTACCATAAAAACACGTAAGAGAGAATTGTCTTGGATTTGGAGCTTCAGGCTGCTGTGACTTTCCCCCTTCACAAATACTGGGCCCATTGGTCCTCATTTCTGAGATGGACAGAGATAGTGATGTCACACCCAGTTGTTTCACACCCATGATATTGAGTAATGGAGCAGAACAGAGACAAAGAACAGACCGAAAAAAAAAAGAAAAGCTAGGAGGGGAAGAAGAACCTAATGAGGGAAAAGCTCTTCACCAATACCAAGAATACAAGAGCAGAACATGAAGGGACATACAAATGTTTAGTATATCTGGTGCACAAATACACAATGTCAGCTACAAAAGTCCCATGGGAATGCATGTTCTAACCTTCAAGTGATATTGCAAAAAAGAAGCGTTATCGCCTGTAAATGTAAACAAACTTATTTGAGCAATTGGTTGATCAAAAAATAGAACTGAATGAACTTGGAAGCTCTAAAATTTTACATTGTTTTATTTTTGAATAGTTTTTTTGTTATTCTACGTCTGTAAGTTCAACTTTCATGATAAAGAGATTGCCCTACAATACTTGTATTAGGTCAATTGAAAATACTATTTCTTTTGTTTTTTTTACTGTGCAAATATTTGTAATAAAAATAATATAGAATGAGTACTGTACACTTTGCATTCTGTGTTGTAATTGAAAAATTTCAATAGATTTAAAAATGTAAAAAAGACCCAAAATATTTAAATAAATGGTATTCTATTATTAACAGTGCAACTAATTGCATGATTAATCACAATTCATATTTTTAATCACATGATTAATCATGATTAATTTTAAAGTAAACATCCCTAAAAATTAGTAAGGTATTTCCATGTATTCCCTTTCACCTATGTAGGTTTTAGCAGGTTTATTTGTAATGAAATATGTTGGCCTATCTCTTTAAAGGAAATATGCAGCTCTACAGGAAATAATTTATTAGCTCTTTCCTTTGGAAACAAAATGCACATGGAAGAGTTAATCCGTTTGTAATCATGTGTGTTGTGTAAATGGAAAAAAATGCAGATGCTGCCATCTGCTTGGAAATTACGAATTAAGTAAAAACAACCTGAAATCAAACAAGAAATTAGCCTTGGATTATTTGGGAGTGTTGTATTGCATACAACAGGCTAGCTCTCAAACTAGCCATCTCTCTTATTCATCCATCTATAAAACAATCCAAATCATAAATTTTGTCTTGAAAAATTTAGTTAAATTTATTAAATTGGTCTGAATTGTTTGGTTAATTTAAAACAGCGGTTCTCAAATTATGTGGTGGGCTTCCCAAGGGAAGTGAAAGTGGTCTGCCTTCCCTTCACTTTCCTCCCTCCTCAGTCATTCTTTCACTTAAAGCAGTGGTCTCCAACCTTTTTAACCACACGATCACTTTTTCAATTTAAGTACAATGTAAGATCTACTTCAAACCCAAATACCTTTGGCCCACTTCATTCCCGCTACTTATTTGAGGCCCTGCCTCTGCTCCACCCCTTTTCCAAGGCCTCACCTGCTCACTCTATCCCCCTTCCTCACTCACTTTCAGTAGGCTGTGGTAGGGGTTGGGATGCAGGCTCTGGTCTTGGGTCAAAGAATTCAGAATGTGGGAGGGGCTCTGTCTTAGCCCAGGATGGGGGATTGGGGTTGAGGTTGGGTCTCAGGGTGCAAGC